ACTATCATGTATGCATCTCGAGAAGTAATCTAAGCCGGCAAAAACGATACAAGCTGTGAAACTGGTTCGCTGCAGGGAACTGCGCACATAACACAAGGCATGCGCCAGGGGCCCGCTATCAGCTGGAGATACCGGTCGGAGGCGCAGTTTGCGAGCCGCCAGCCTCGCGCTGTGTCGATTATGACTCACCAGTGCCGTGAGCGCGGCGAGCCCCCGGCACGCGGCGCCATGATTGGTCAGGGCTTCTGCGCAGCAGGCGGCCAGAACGCAGAACGGATGGCGCTGGGTGGCGGGTCGGTCGACCTCGGGGCCGAAGCCACACTGCGACTAGCTCGCGCAGGTGGGCGGGGATGAGTCTGCTGACGGGCGCGCGGGCGTGGGGGAGGCGAGCGCGGCATGCGACGGAAGGCGTCGGTTCCGCGGAGAGCCGCCACCGCGCGGCACCCCTATCGCCCCCGCGAATGTGGCGGCGGCCGCCCCAGTCCGCGGTCGGGGATGGGAAGGTCGTGACCGTAGTGGATGGGCCTCGTATCTGCCCGCTGTATGGGAACGATGGAGCTGTGTTGTCGCACCTGGACTGTCTGGTCCATGCTCGTGCTCAGCTGCGGAGGTCTATTGAGCTGAAAACTCGACCGTTCAGGCCAGGCCATGCTGCGCCTGACGTGCTGGTGCCCTGGCGCTGGCACTGATCGTTCAGTACAGAGCGCTATCCCCAGTGCGAGGCTGACCACCGGCGTGTGTGCCCGCCGTCCGGTGCTGACCGAGCTGGACGCGCGGCGGAGAGGATAGGGCGGCCGACTGAAGCTCGCCCGCGCGCCGGCTTCCCCGCGACGGGGTCCGTGCCGGACTGTGCGCGGTCCTCCGCTCCGCCGTACCCTCTCGCGGATGACGCGCAGGGGTCCACCCCGCCGGCACCCGCCGTGCATTTGCCGCCCGGCGGGACCGTTCCTCGGAGATCACGGGTCTCTTCAAACGTCAGCGGCTGGTTACAGACCTCCTGCCGCGCGGACGGATGGCTGACGCGGGCGGCGGCGCCCGACTGGTTTGGGAGGGCCGCGTGCTACCGGTGACGGCTCTGCCGCGGGGCAGCGCGGCGCGTGAGCGTCGGTCTCGGCACCCGGCCTTACTGGGACGAAACCGTGTGGCTCGGCGGATGGTTTGGCGTGTGCTGCATGTGTGACACGTAACCGGCCCTGATGTGTCGCGTTTGGCGTGTGCTGCACGTGTGACACGTAACCGGCCCTGATGTGTCGCGTGCGGATGGGCGTGTTTGGCGCACGGCTAGGCGACTTCCGCACCGTTATGTTCTATATCGGGCGGCAGAGTTGGAGCAGCTCGCCGATCGGGTCGCGGCCTTGAGATGTCGCCTGCATCATGTATGCATGGCGCCGCTGGCAGCGCCCGGGGCGCCGCGGCGGGATCAGATGGTGGTGGCATGCTGGAGGTGGCAGCTGTCGGGACGCGGAAGCGGCTCCAGTGGCCCCATGCATGGAGCGCTGGGTCGGACCGACACCGGGCGACCTTCAGCCATGCCCCGCGCCCCGGCTTTAGCCCTCCGTGGGAGGGGGCCGGGGACGGGGGGGGGGGGCCACGGAGTGGGTCCGCTGCCGCTCCTGGAGGAGACCCGCGCTGGTGGAGCACAGGCGAGCCGGACGGCGACAGCGGCCCACGTCGGAGACGCGCGGTTATGTGGCCCGTCAGTGTCGCTGTGTCAACCGCATCGAATGGGTGGATGGCGATCATGATTAGCTTGGGAATATTCTGACCTTCCCGAACGATGGGTTGGGCTCTCCAGTACTGGTTTGTTCCCTCCATGTTTTTGCTGTAATATTCCAAGGTTATGGAAAATTTGAATATGACGAAGGACCGACCTTTCTTGTTCCCCGTCTTCGCGTAGTGACCGTGTCAGGGCGGTGCGTGCTGGTTTACGGACCTTGCCAGCGCCCAGTGGGCCGTCCTTGGCGAACAAGGTCACTCTCTGAAGGGGCACCAACATGGCAGAGCCAGAGGGTGCCTTCCCCCCCCCCCCTCCCCCACCGCCCGGTATTCGAGGCCAAGGCCGCGCTGACTGTTATAGAGTCAGGGGGCGGAAGGGGAGGGGGGGGGGGGGGTAAGCGGATGGCCGTTTGTATCCGGCCGTGAGACCGGTGGCTGTTTTTGGTTGTTGTTCTTGGCGCCGATTGGCCGCCCTTGTCCGCGTGATTCAGCGCCGTCCATGGGTGAATGCTGCACGGCTTGCGTCGCCTTCCGGGAGCGCTCTTCGTCGTGCTCGGCGGCGGCGGTGACGGCGGAGGCCGGCACACTTCCACGACGAGCGGGCTGTCGCGCCCTGTCGGCGTTTGTTGACCAATGACCAGCTTCGGCCCGGTTGCCCCTGGCAGGCTGCCGGACGCGGTCGCGCTGCGCGCCTGGAGAGCTGGCGGCAGAGCGGCGCCAGACTGTGCGTGCGCCCGGCTGTTCTGCGGGGCTTCTCGCTGGCTGTCGCCGGCAGGATGTGAGGCCCGCGCCACGTGCCGGAGAGTCACGTGAGCCTGGTGTACGGCTGACTGCCGCCGGCTGTCACTCGACGGTCGGCTTAGCTGTTGGGCTTGGCTCCGGCTTGGGGCCTGCTACTCTCGGATATTGGCATCGATTGTGGCAGACCTGCGGTGCCGAGCAAGCGATTGGCACCGGCGGCGGGATGCCACGGAGGGCAGCTGGCGGGGTGCACCGCCGACCTTGTCCGGCTTCAAGGTTACAACCAACCAGTGGAAATCCCGAGAGTTGTTTGGGAACCAACTCTGTATGGCGATCCAACGTTCGCGTTCCAGCAAGGAACGTCTGTTAAGTAAAAAGGTCATTGATTTGATTGTCTCTGTCTTTTAATGAGTCCTTATTCTTAGCCTGTATCGACATATCAGGGGAGCGCGAGACAAGACTCGGTAGTGAGAGTCGTGCTGAGGCCTGCCAGTGCCGTGACTTGCGCAGCGGGCGTCGGCAGCAGCTGCCAGTGCCGTGACCGGCACGGCGGGCGTCGGCAGCAGCCGCCAGTGCCGTGACCGGCGCGGCGGGCGTCGGCAGCAGCCGCCAGTGCCGTGACCGGCGCGGCGGGCGTCGGCAGCAGCTGCCAGTGCCGTGACCGGCACGGCGGGCGTCGGCAGCAGCCGCCAGTGTCATGACCGGCACGGTGGGCGTCGGCAGCAGCTGCCACCCCACTCCCGCTGCGGGGGCGCTCGGAGCCGTGTCGCGGTGCCTGTCTCCTGCGGGACCCGGCCGGCCCGCCGCCAAAACGTCGGCCGGCTCGATACCGCATCGCCCACGTCGGGGAAGGGGTGGGCGGGGTAAAGGCGTCGCCCACGCCGGACCCTCAAGCATCGCGACGGCGCCAAAGGTCGTGGCCCAGAATGGCGGCCGGTTTGATCCGGGGGCGGGGAGGGGACGTCTGGACGCGCGGCTGGGCTAGAAGGGGAGGGGAAAGGGTGTCGGAGTGTCGTCAGCGACCTCGCCGACGCTGGAGGCGACCCAAGGGAAACAGGCGAATACGGCGTCCCGCCCTTCGCCGTGGGTTTAATCCGAGCTATTTGGAGCGTCGGCTCCGGTGGCGAGGTGCGCTTGTCATCTCGATGTGTGAGCGTCGGAGCGCTGGCCGCACCAGGCACCACTGTCTGTCTCTCTGCTGTTGACCCCGGGCCCGGCGCGTCTGGCCGCCTGCTGTGTGTGTGCGTGTTTCGGTGACGGCCGCTGGCGTGCGTAAGGCGCGGGCGCACAGACGGCGACGCTGGCCGGCCCGGGTCAGACCTGGCGTGCGACGGACTCCGCGGGTCTGGGCTGGCCTCCCGACGCTGGCCAGATCAGGTCCAAGGTCCCGACCGTCACCTGCCTGGCTGCTGTGAGCCCGGCTCAGACGCGCTGCAGCTGGTAGATGGGCCTTGATCTGACGGCCAGAGGGCTGCTGACGGGCGGTGTGTATTACTGGAGGGCGTTATTGCCGCGCCGCGGCTCGGCCGCAGGGTCGGCTGAGTGTAATATACCGGAGGCTCCTTTCGGGCGGCGCAGACCGAGCTGTTGGCGGTCAGCTCTCTCCAAGAGTGTCGACAATGGTTCATCGCTGTAGAGTGGTGGGCATATTCGCTGCAGGGTACCGGTAGCATGCTGGTTAACCCGCGCATCAGGGAAAATAGACCCCGCGGCGCCTTCTCTTCTTGCCAGCGTGTGAGAGACATGCGACGTCATTAGCTTCAGCAGATGAGCGTTGCAAAGTCCCAATAGTGAACATTCGTCGCGGCATGTGATGGAAATGGAATATGTATATACATATATATATATATATATATATATATATATATATATATGTATGTGTATATATATACAATGTGTATATATACATGTATATATATATATATATATATATATATATATATATATATATATATACACATTCCATTTCCATCACATGCCGCGACGAATGTTCACTATTGGGACTTTGCAACGCTCATCTGCTGAAGCTAATGACGTCGCATGTCTCTCACACGCTGGCAAGAAGAGAAGGCGCCGCGGGGTCTATATATATATATATATATATATATATATATATATATATATATATATATATATATATATATACGACTGGTAATGGTAAGCCATGTAAACAAACCGTACCAAATAGACGTGGCTGTCGATTATTGAGGAAGATGCATGCCACTGTCATGACATGGCAGAATGTGTGCTGACTGGCGCCTGTGTGAATGCCGGCCGCCATAGCCTGGCCCGCCGGGAGACTGGGGTGCGACCCAGCTCCCGCGCTATGTCGGGCCATGCCTGCGACGGCGGGTGAGAAGAAAACCTCTGCAGAACCTCGATGCCCACCCCCTACCACCTTCTGAACGCTTAAAGAGCTCGTGCTAATCGCGGGGACTGGCTCGTAAAACTTGAATTATATGTTGGAGATTACAAGATTGTATTTGGAGACAATACTCTATGTTCGATGTCGTATGCTGACGGTGCGTCTCCTTGTTCGGCAGGCGCGTGGACAAGTCGATCCACGCGGCGGTGGCCTCCCACCTGCTGGCGACGGTGACCGGCCGGCACGAGGAGGCGGCCGACCGCAGCGGCGAGCCGCCCGCCAAGCGGCTGGAGGGCGAGCGGCCCAGCGGCGGCCGCGCCACCAGCTTCGAGAGTCTGGGCCAGCCGCACGCCAGGTGAGCAAGACGACGGGGCAGGTCCGGTCAGTTGCCGCGCAGAGCTGGAGGAGAGCCAGACGGGGCGGGTGGTCCGCGAACGGAGCGCAGGCAGTCGGACGGTCGTCGGGCTGGGGCGATGGTTGACGCCAGAGCCGCAGACACCGCCGGAGGATAACATTACCGTCCACCGCCGGGACGCTTAGTGCTGAAGTTTTAAATGCCCCTTCCCCTCCCCCTCCCCGAGCCTTCGCTGTACCGGGCGCGCGCATCCGCCGTCCACGCGCTGCTTCAGCTCCGCCCCTCCCCGTGCCTGGCCGGCCGTTTGGTGTTAGGTCTCGGTGCGGCTGTACCTGCCGCCGCCGCCGCCGCCGCCGTATTGGCAGTGGGCCGGCTGGGGTCACCTTGACGGCGCGGATCCTCCGCGCCGCCCAGCTTCCGCCGGCGTGGCTGGAGCGGCGCGCGCCGCCGCCGCCGCCTCCGGCTGTGCGTGAGGCGTGAGCGACGCCTCCGGCTGTGCGTGAGGCGTGAGCGACGCCTCCGGAGGACTGGCGCGGCGACGCGTGCTGAGGTTCGCTGTCGCCGGCGGCGCGGGCGCTCCCGTGGAAAGGCTCGCGCGGCGCCGGCTGCGGGCGGGGGCGGGCGCGCGGCCGTGAGCAGGTCCGGTGTGGCCCGGTCGGCCCGTGGTCTGGCCGCGGTGTCTGCGTGACAACACTGACGGAGCTGGCGGCCGGTGCCCGGGCTGGGTCCTACCGGAAGTGGTCTGCCAGCGGCCGTCTGGCCGGGAGCCGCCGTCTGCAACCGGAAAACTTCGGAAATAATTTTCCCCGGTTTCTCTTTACTGACTGTGGCTGGAGGTCGACCACCTGTCCGCTCTACTTCCGGGTAATGCTTAGAACATTGTAAATGCTATGCACCGCCGCTCTCGTGTGACAGCTCTCTGGAGTCTGAGACGTGTGACTCGAGTCTGTGAGTCAGCCCCGCGCCGACGGCTAGGGTCTGACAGTCCAACCAGCGCCGACGACTCTCGCCGCGCGCGCCTCAGAGCGAGCGCACTGCTAGCGGTTCGCTGTAGCAGCGGCCGCCGCCAGGCTCGCCTGTCTCCGGTGTACTGGGCCGAACGGCGGGGAGCGCTGCTTCGCGGCTCCCGTTCTCAGACGGCGCAGACGGGCGGCAGAGATCGTCTGGTGGAGCCTGTCTCCGGTGTACTAGGCCGAACGGCGGGGAGAGCTGCTTCGCGGCTCTCGTTCTCAGATGGCGCAGACGGGCGGCCGAGATCGTCTGGTGGAGCCTGTCCCCGTGTGGGGCGGCCGGGCTGAACCAGGGGGGCGCGGCGGCGCGGCGGGCTGTGCGGCCGCCAGACCGACACGCTGCGGTGTTGGTCTGGCGGCGGCCAGCCCCGGGCCAGGCGTGGTCAGGAGCGCTCCCGCTGCCAGAGTGCTGCAGGTGCTGAGCGGGGCCTTCGATCTGCTGAACTCTGTATGGGTATGTGTGGTTATTAGGTTAAGAATAGCGCTTGGTCGAGCGAAAGTGAACCGGGTGACCCACGACGAGTTGCATGGAAGTTCCGAACTCGGCCCGACGCTCGGCCCCCAGAGTCTTCGGGCCGAGCTTCGGCCCCGGAGTACTGGGCACGTCTTCGGAAAGTTCGTGCTCTAGTCTGCGCTGTACCCTGGCGGTCTCTTCAATAAGGCAACTTATTAAATCACGATATCGCTCATTTTAAATCCAGCGGAGGGGGCTGCGCAGTCTGGGACGCCGGCGTGCCCTGGAATGCCCTTGGGGCAGGATCACGGCCTGGGACGACCTTTGGCACGCTTATCTACTACGCAGTGGAGCTGTCACTCCCGCAGTGGCGGCGGACTCTACATGGCGGGGAGCAGCCAGCCAGCGAACGGTCTGTTGGCTTCGCTCCTTCCCGTGCGACGCCGTTGAATTCACGCTTATTGCGGCCAGGGTGTGAAGCGTAGCATGTGGCCCATCCCGTCTCCGGCCGCTCTGTTTGCACTGACGTAAACCTCGCGCGGTCAAATAAAGTCTCGCGGGGTTGTGAAATGTCTCGAGTGAACTGGTGGCGCCCGCCAGCTTCGTGTGTAGGTCTTGAACCCCGTATATTGTCAGATGGCGTCCGGCGGGTCTCGGCTTGCGCCTTCGGGCCGCGGCCCGGCCCAGCGCCTCGGAGCCCGTCTGCTGTGCCGTCGCTGTCGCCGTCGACGGGGGCGCTCTTGTCACGCCCGATCCTCGTGTCGCCGATATACCTGGCCGCCGCGCCAGCTGGCCGCCGCACGACTGACCCCCGCGCGACCTTGCCCGTCGGGGTGTAAACAGACCGGCGTCGGCGTAGACGCGCGGGCGCGGGGAGGGGGGGGGGGCGGAGGCGCGCGTCCGAGCCCGAGTCGGCCGGTCGCGTTCAGGCTGCTGAGGCGGCTTTGAGTCAGCGGGGCCGCCGCTGCCGCCGCCGCTTGTCTGGCGTGGGAACCTGGGCGCGCGGGGCTGGCGCCCGTGAAGAGTCCGGCTCGCTCGTGTCATGCACGCTGACCTTGGGCCGGCTGGCCTTCACAGCGAAGGGATGGTGGGGCCCCGCTTGGGATGGTTAAGTGGCGGTCTGGCTGGGCCCCCGGCGGCGGGCAGGGGAGGGGCCGGCCGGCCGTCCCCGTCGCGCTGAAGGCTGCCGGGGCGTGGTTCTGAACTGGCCCCGGCGGCCCGCCCAGCCGCACGCCGTCTGAAAACCACGCGGTGAAGCGGGGCGGGCCCGCTCGCCGCGGACAGCGCGGGGCCGCCGCCTGTCTGAGGCACGCCCGTCGGGCCGCGCCGAAACCGGGCGCGTGTGAGGCCCCGCCTACCAGAGCCGTCAGCCGTCAGTCAGCCGGTGTCTGGTCACACAAGCCGGCCGGCAGTGTGAGCACCGGCCGGGTCCACCTCTGGCCGGTGGGGCGCTGCTCGCGCCGGCCGGCCCGGCCCGCACAGATCGATGCCCGGAGCTGACCTGGCTCGACACGAGATCGACCCGACCGGGGGCCGATCAATGCGGCGCGGGCGGTGCGGCCGGCGCCGGTGCCGGAGGACGCGCTGTACCGAGACCCGGCGCGCCGGTGCCGGAGGCCCGCTGTACCGAGACCCGGCGCCGGTGCCGGAGGACCCGCTGTACCGAGACCCGGCGCGGAGTCGCCGGAGGACCCGCTGTACCGAGACTCGGCCCGCCGGTGCCGGAGGACCCGCTGTACCGAGACCCGGCGCGCCGGTGCCGGAGGACCCGCTGTACCGAGACCCGGCGCCGGTGCCGGAGGACGCGCTGTACCAAGACCCGGCGCGGAGGCGCCGGAGGACGCGCTGTACCGAAACCCGGCGCGGAGGCGCCGGAGGACGCGCTGTACCGAGACCCGGCGTGCCGGCGGCGGAGGGCGCGCTGTACCAAGACCCGGCGCGGAGGCGCGAGGCGACGTGACCGGCCGGCGGCTGCGCGGTCGGCGGTCTGCCGGCGGCGGGTCGAGCTCGGGCGCCGCCTCGTCAGTCAAAGAGAGCTGTGATGTAACGCCGGCCGCGGTCTGGCGCCGCGCCGCCTGCCGTGACCGCGCACTGGCGCTCCTCACCGCCCAGTGACTGGGGAGAGAGAGAGAGAGGGAGCGGAAGCGGCGGGGTTCGACTGTTGCTCGGGCTTCCGCGCGCGCGTCGGTGGCCGGCCGTCCTCTGTCTGCTAGAGGTCGGCCGACGGCCGTACTACGCAGCGGCGCGCCGGGCGGCGGCGCCGGCGCCGGCCCGCCCCCGAGCCGGCCACGTGGTTGGCTGCCGCCGCCGCCGGCCGGCCGGACCTGTCGCACACCGGCCGCCGCCGGCAGAAGTGAAGACGGGCGCGACCTGGTGGAAAATTACCCCCCGCCCCCGTATGGTATGGGGGTGTCACGTGACGGCAATGTCGGCGAGCCGGAGGCGGACATCGGCGCGAATGATTGATTGATCGCGGCGTCAGTGAAGTGGTGAACGGAATGGATATGGGGATTTCCTGGTGTGGGGGTGGGGGTCGCCGGCTTGCTCCCCCTCCTCTCCTTGTACGCGTACACATGCTTTGCCATGCCTGGCGCACGCATGACTGCGGTGCTGTGCGGAGCCGATGTAGTTAGTGGTCACGGGCCCGCCACCAGCTCCAAGGCATCCTGGTGGCACATCACCCGCTCCGGCCGGGCGCCACCGGCGGCCGCGGACGGAAGGTCGCTCCGTGACCTGGCGCTCTCGTTTGCCGTTACCGTCCTCGGGCGATGTGTTCCCGCTCCGGAGGAGTCGGCCATCCAGTGTTGCCAGCCGGCGGGCGGGCTGGGGCCGCTCAGGTGAGGTCATGGCGCCGGGCCCGGTCGGCGGGCGGGCTGGGGCCGCTCTGGTGAGGTTATGGCGCCAGGCCCGGCCGGCGGGCAGGCTGGGGCAGCTCTGGTGAGATCATGGCGCCGGGCCCGGCCGACGGGTGGGCTGGGGCCGCTCTGGTGAGGTCATGGCACCGGGCGCGGCCCTCAGCGGTGGCTGACATCACCTTGGGCGTGAGCAGCGAGTGGGCGGCCTGCCGCGCCTCCTGCCCCAGAGAGCGGAGCCGTCGCCACCACCGGACGCTGAGCCCGGCTCCCGTGGGTGCCGTCCGGCCGGACCCGCTCCCCACCGACTGGACGGCGGTGGGCCGATTCAAGCCGCGCCTCGTTGACGATGGCGCCTTGCACGGATCCATGACATCGCTGCTGTCTGCTGGGACGTAAGATTGCACCAGCGGCTGCGGATATCTGGCGCCCACTGGCAGCGGGTTTGCTGCGGTCGGCAGCGGGGCGCGGGTCAGCGCGGCTGGGAGCGGGCCGACCCCGGGTTCGGCGGGCGTGGCCGCTGCGTGGTCACGGACCTGGGCGCGGGAGGGTCCGCCGACTCGAGCGCGGCCGCTCCAGCGCGCGGCGCGAGCTGCGCTGCGTCATCTGTGTAAGCGACGGCTGATGTGGGAGCGCCGCGGTCCAACGCTGGCCAGCGGCGATCACGTGTTCGGCCACTGGGGCCGGAGGGAAAGTGTCCGGGCGGCTGGAGCGAGCGGCGATACAGCACGCTGCACCGTTGCGCCGCTGCACAT